TCAAGCAGAAGCCGAAATCGAAAAATATGTCCACATGTTTTAGAGATAGAGGTGTCGATAAAAATAAAATACGGACATGAGGGCATCATGATCATTCTAATAACAGCAACATATATAGATTTTGTCATATGATTTCCTATGCTCAAGTAATAAGCAATTCACAATGTCAAGTATGGTTCAAAAACTTCATTGGGAACTAACAAACTATAATCTCAGTCATTGAAGCAATTGCAATTTATCGTAACATCAGAAAGAGTCAATAATAGAGTTTTTCAACTAGCTCACATATTCAACTATCTCGTAGTCTCCCATAATTGTTAACACTCACACAATACTTGTGGTTATAGAGTTTCAGCCGGACACTGAGAAAGATAGGGGCTTCTTGTGTTGCCTCCCAATGTATTCACCTTTAGGTGATGTCAACAATAATAGCCTATGCCAACTTACATCCAATTGGATATATATATCATGATCTTTCAAACACGAAGAGCTAGCCAAAGGATAAAAATAAAAAGGGAAAGGTGAGGATCACCTTGACTCAGGCATAAAGTAAAAACATAAAATAAAAGATAGGCCATTCGCAGAGGGAAGCAGAGGTTGTCATGCGCTTTTAGGGTTGGATACACAAAATCTTAATGCAAAAGAACGTCACTTTATATTGCCCCTTGTATGTGGACCTTTATTATGCAATCCGTCGCTTTTATTACTTCCACAACAAGTTCGTACAAAGCTTATTTTCTCGGCACTAATAAATCATGCATATTTAGAGAGCAATTTTTATTGCTTGCACCGATGACAACTTACTTGAAGGATCTTACTCAATCCATAGGTAAGTATGATGGACTCTCATGGCAAAACTGGGTTTAAGGATATTTTGAAGCACAAGTAGTATTTCTACTTGGTGCAAGGAATTCGGCTAGCATGAGGGGGAAAGGCAAGCTCAGTATGTTTGGGAGGTCAATGACAATATACTTTAACTGAGATGTTGGAAAACATAAACCATTATGTTGTCTTCCTTGTCCAACATCAACTCTTTTAGCATGTCATACTTAATGAGTGCTTCACAATCATAAAAGATGTCCAAGATAATATATTTATATGTGAACCCCTCTTTCCTTATCACTTCCTATTAATTGCAACGGTGACCAAGGCTACGTTCATCAACTCTCAACAATTTTTATGCCTCATACTTTCTATGTGTGAAGTTATCACTATCCGTAAGATCAATATGAACTCTTTTGTTCTTTCTACTTTCTCAAGATCATAGCAACAAAGAAAAGCCCTTGACTCAACACTAATCTTTATTATAGATAGCACACGGACTCGATTACATAAAGGGATCACAATGCAAAACTCGAAACTACTTGATATCAAAAACTTCAAACTACTAGATCAAGATACTACTAAAAAAATCGAACTAAATAAAGCGGTAAAAATAGGAGTGTGATGGTGATATGATACCGGGGCACCTCCCCCAAGCTTGGCAGTTGCCAAGGGGAGTGCCCATACCCATGTGATTATTTCCTCGGAGGTGATGGGGGTGGTGATGATGATGGTGGATAATCGCACATCGAGCGTAAAAGCTCCTCCAACTTGGATTGATTAAGATGAAATTTGTGTTGACCTGAAAGTTGAAACACCTGTTGCAACAACTCTAAATGCCTCTGCAAGGTATGACTATGCACTAAAATGTCATCGATTAACACCAAAACTCCTTTGCAAAGTAATGGCAAAAATAGAAAATTCATAGCACCCTAGAAGGTAGATGGCTCACCTGTAATCCCATTTGGCATCACCTTGAATTCATAATGGCCATGGTGGGTTTTGAAGGCTGTTTTATCCTCATCCTCTGGCTTCATGCAAATTTGATGATATCATGCCCGCAAATCCAAACTGTTGAACCAAACAGACCCAGCAAGCTCATCTAGCAACTCTTCAATAATGGGAAGAGGGAAACGATTCTTGACAGTAATGGCATTAACATTCCTGAAATCAATGCAAAAGTGCGAGCTAAGATCTTTCTTCTGAACCAACAACATCGGAGAGGCATAAGGATTGCAGTTGTGTTGTATGATACCTTGTCGAATCATTTCAGACACCCGAGCCTCAATTTCATCCTTTTGAGCTGGAGTATATCGATATGGCCGAATGTTAACAGGTTGTGCACCCGGAATTAGCGGAATACTATGGTCGACCAGTCTCTGTTGAGGCAGCCTAGTTGGCGGCTCAAATAGGTGAGCAAACTGCTGCAATAATTTCTACACACCTTCAGGAAGAACTGTACTGTCCATCTCACATTCGACAGAGCATACCTGAATAACCTGATGAACATCATTGTTGGCCATCAACACATGCAACTGAGCTGAGGACTGTTGGAAACACTGCTGAAAATTTGGTTCGACCCCTTGCAGCAAAATGTTCTGCCCATGATGCAAAAACCTGAGCTGCTTCTGGCCCCAATGAACATCCATAGGGCTGTGAGCTTCCAAGCAGTCCATGCCGACAATTATGTCATAGCACCCCAGGGGCAACACCTTCAAAGTTGATCGAAATTTATGCCCTTGCATAGTCCATTGACAAGCCGGGAGCTCATATGTACACTGCAACTGCCCCCCGTCCGCCACATGCACTTGAAGAGAACGAGTGGATACCTCCACTCCAGACAATCGAGTTGCCAAGGCTGAACTGACAAAACTGTGTGAGCTGCCCGAGTCAATCAGCATCAACACCTTGTGCTTTTGGATGGATCCTTGCAAACGCACAGTCTGAGGTGTGACTGTGCCTCCCACAGCTGCTCTGGAAATTGTATGACGTTCACTAGGAGAATCTGACTGATCAGACGGTCTGTCAAACCCTAAGATACCCAAGACATCAAAAAGCTCTTGTACAACATGCAGTTGCACGACAGTCGCACACTTGTGATCCCTGGACCATTTCTTACCACAAAGATAACAAAGGCCCCTGGCACGGCGGTATGCTCGGAGAGTGGTCAACCATTCATCAGTAGGAGTTGAATGCGCCATAATATTGGGCGCCGCTCTCCGATCCTCTGCAACTGCAGTGGGTGGGGGAGACGCCCCGATGGCGGAGGCAATGGCATAGCACCTCACAAGTATGAACGACTACCCAAGCCACTGTCTCGACGACGAGGTTCACGCCGCTTCAAAATTTCCAGCGCTTGTTCCTGCAAAGACGCCAAGGAAACAACAGTATCCATGTCGCGTGGGTTGTGAATGAGAACAACAACTCGAATTTCATCCTTAAGATCATCAACAAAACAAGACGGAAACAAAGAAGGATCCCAAGAACTGCTATGCGCTAAGAGAGAATGCATCAGATCATTGAACTGAGTGACATACTCGGACACCGAGTCTGTCTAACGCAAGTGAAAGAGTTGGCGCGACAAGGAATTGTACTCATTGTGTTCAAATTGGTCACAAACTAATGAACAGAACTGATCCCACTCCATATGACTAAGATCAAAGCCCCCACTCTCTAACCAAATCATGGCAGGACCCGAGAAATGCATCGCTGCCGTATCCGCCCATAGCTCTGGATCAAGGTGAAACACCCTGAAGTAAGATTCACAATTGCGTTTCCAACTACGCGGCCGTTCACCCAAAAACGGAGGAAATCCATCTTGGGTCGGGGCGGCACAGAAGAGCGCACCCGTTGCAGACTACCAGAACAAGAAGGCTGACGAAAAAGAGACAATCCTGAGGAAAATTGACGCGGCTTTGGTGAGTGAACCAGAGAACGAGATCGAGTATCAGGAACGGTAGACGTACCCGTGACCGGGAACATGGGTAGTGACTACCCCAGTTCGAGCGCCCCAGGATGTTGTGTCATCGTGGCGGCCATCGGGCCTAAATGTGGGCGCGACTGCAACAGGGGCGTCGCGCAGCGGTGGCTGCGGCATCAACGGCGGCAGATCGGTTGGCTTCAGCGACAGGATGGGGTTGCGGATGACATGGTCGAGGACGCACCGCACTCCACCCAAATCTGCCTGCAGATCAGTCACCGCCTGATCCAACGTCGGCCTCCACTCCGCGAGATCAAGGACCGAGGGCTTGATCTCCTCGAAGAGGGTCGTGGGCGCTGCTACCGCCTTCTGGATGGAGGCATTTTGCTCCTGGATCAACTTGAGGGTCGCCGCCAGCTCGTCGACGCGCTGCTCCGTCGCCACCGGTTGACGTTGTCGATGTGTGGAGAAGGTGGGTTTCTGGAGGTAATCTGGCAAATCCGATACCATATGTTATGTCCTTTCTGCTCAATTCATCAAATCCATGATGGGATACAGGTAATTGGGGAAAGAGGAAGTGAATCGGAGAGGAGAAGCAGTTCATGGAAGGAGAAAGGGGATAGGGTTTGAGTTACATCCACTGGACAGCCGTTCTCCACACATCGCACCCACACCTACTTATCCTACATCTCCCATGTCTCTGGATCGAACAACCTGTTGGGCCGTCTCTTCCTCTTGGGCCTCGCCAGACCGTCCTGCTCCTCCCGTGGGCCTTGAGACGTATTTGAGGACATGACAAAACGGTTGGGTGAACCGACCACTACAACGTGCGTGGATGCTACTAAGGCGTTTTGCGCCCTGTTTGTCACGTCGACCATTTGCCGCTTGTGGGCCGCAAATAGGAGCTCTCGAGTTGCAGCGACGCAACAATAAAATGGGGAGCCAAACACATATTACCATGCTGAACAACGACAAAAAATTAGAGGGCAATGCTCCCCCTCCTACGTTTTTCCGATGTATCATTGTAGGCTTTCCCATTCTTATTCCAAAACATTACTAAGTACAGTTGATACAGTTAATCACATTCCAGAAATAAATCGCAGACAGAGCGTCATCATGTTGATTGATGTACCAATTTACCTACGATATGACACGGGTCTCAGTTTCAGAGCGGGGTGGCGCGTTGGTCGTTCACTCGCCATCAACCTCCGAAGAATCAAGAGTCGGACGGACAGATAGGAAGATGAGGTTGGTTTGATCAGAAGATGTCGAGGATCTCCTGGATGAAGCCGTTGCAGAGCGGGCAGTTGCCGCGGCTGACCCAGAGCTCGCGGGAGCAGAGGCGGCAGAATGTGTGGCCGCACGGGATGAAGGCCGCGCCCTTGTGCCGCACCATGCACACGCAGCACACGTGCACCATCTCCCCCTCGCCGTCCTCCTCCTCCTCCTCGGCGTGCGCGTTCTTGCTGCTGGCCCCGGCGCCTGCCGCGGCCTGCTCCTCCTCCTCCTCCTCGTCCCAGCTGTCCGTCTGCTCCAGCAGCGCCATCAGGGACATCTGCGCCGCCGGCGCGTCCTCCTCCTCCTTGCCTTCCTCCTCGTCCTCGTCCTGCTCCGACTCGTCCTCGGAGCCCTCGCCGTCGACCACGGGGGAAGAGCGCCCGATGGTGGCGTTGGAAGCGACCCGTGTGGAGGCCGCGCGCGAGAATGCGGGAGCCTGGCGGAGCGAGGAGGTGCGGCAGAAGGCCGCCGTGGCCTCACCTTGCGCGTAGATGTACTTGTGGCTGCGGTTGCTGCCGCTGCCGCTGTTCTTCAGGCTACCGGCGCCGTCCGCCGTGCTGGGCCTCTCCGACGGGCTGGACCAGGCGTTCACGGAGCGGCGGAGGCGGAGACGGTCGCGCAGCGGCTTCCAGTTGATCATGCCGCCGCTGCCTCCACCTCCTCCGGCGTCAGCGCTCAGGTGGCTGTTGTCGTCGGGGATCTTGAGGAACTCGCGGATAGCCGGGTCGGGCCTGGACAGCTGCTCCGAGAGCGTCATCGACCGCCGCAGCTCTGGCCGCCGCTCCATCGTGCCTTGGCCGCCGCCGCCGCTGCGTGGGACGAATGGGTGTGCGTATACTTGGTGTGGAGATGGAGGTGAGGCGCTAGGGTGGTGCGCCTTATGGTCGAGAGAGATGGTGGTACAAGGAATGGGGGAAGAGGAGAGAGACCCGCTCCCGCGCCTTTTGAACTCAACTCCGGTTTGCAGCCACCGCAGCGTGCGGCATGGATACGAAATTACAGCCGTGATTTCCGGTGAATCAGTTGTCAATGGACGAGTCGAGTTGAGCCTCATGGCTACGATCGGCGCCGATGAGGTGGATGGACGTGTGGTGGGGAGAAAAGCTCCATGCTTAGCCGAGAACGGCTATAGTTGGAATATTGCTATATTTCGATGTACACATGCGAGAGAAGATTTCCATGAAATTTTTATGCTCTTCTCCAGCAGCTAGCTAACCTAAAACTGGATACCTACAAATCGTTTTGCTTATATCTCTCATTCCATTGTGCATACACAACCCAAATTAACTCTAAATTCCCGCAAAAAAAAAAACTCTAAAACTTCATGTCGTGTCATCATCCATACTGCATCCATGCCAACGTAAAAAGAGCGAGTTACGGAGATAAGATCAAATAAAATTCAACCGCATCTATCGCTATGGCGTTTAGCTTTAAACATGTTCAGTATCCTTCACTAATTAATATCATGTCTAATATCAATGCAACATTAACCAAGTAACAATTACCTAATGTTAATATGCAATTTATATCTTACCTAATACTAATATGCAATACAAATACTTCCTCCGTCTCAAAATTCTTGTCTTAGATTTGTCTAGATACAGATGTATCTAATACTAAGACGTGACTTGATACATCCATATTTAGATAAATGTAAGACAAGAATTTTGGGACGGAGGGAGTATACAATTAATATATTGCCTAATATATTACTACCGTGCAGTGCATGTGCACAATTACTAGTAGCACAAAATTGCATACCATATTCACATCACGTTCCAAATCATGCAAGGAATTCATGTTCACATCACATTGTGTTTCAATCAAATTTGGAAACAAAAAATATACACCTTTGCGGCATTACACCAAAAGCACGACATATACATCTGGCGAGCGCCATGGGGGCAAGTGAAAGCGCGTACAACTGTTGTGGCGCACTTGATGCTCTGTGGTTTGCGCCTTTCACGTAGCCGCAACAAAACATAGGTAGCATTGTGCCTTCCAGTTTAGGGCCTCGATGGCGCGACAGGGGTGGGGCAGAGGAGGTGCATGGGGTAGGGGATTGCCGCGAGAGGTGGTGGTGGATAGCGTAGGGGTATGCGGCAACTGCCGTCCATGGCGGTGCCGGCGGCTGGAGGCACTTTCAACAAGTGAAGGCACGGCGACATGCATATTTATGGACCATGCTTTTAAGGCCGGCTGGCGGGCACGAAATTTAGGCCTGGCCTGACACGGGAATAAAAGGGTCGAAACAGCCTACGGCCCACAACGAAAAAAGGTCGATCTCCGAAGCAAAACTTTAAGGCCGACCCAGCACGACCCTTTTATTCGCGGATCGGCATGGCCTATGCCCAACAGGACGTGCGGCCCAAATCAGCCCTTTTAACACTGTTTGGGGCTATTTTGCCCATTTTAGGGCTCTTGACCTTCTTAGAATTTTTTTTGGCCTTTTTAACCTAAAAATGTAAAGCCCGGAGGGACAAAACGGTCTAGAAGGCCGAAACAGCCCACAAGACCAAAAATCAACTCGGACAGCCGGCTAGCCCTTTTAGATGGGACCTCCTATAGCCCGCTCTCCGCAGCAAAGATCCGCCGTTTCGCACAGGCAACTCAATGACTGGGCCGGCCCGTAAAGATCAAGACCTTCGAACCCGCTACTACCAGTCCAGCTAGCTGTCTTGTCTGAGCATATTGTTGCGTCAACCGTAAAGAACCGATACTGCGCAGATCCGAATTATTTAAGGAATTTCGAAACCATTTTTTTTCTTCAAAAAACAGAATCTTCTGAACAAATTTTTAAAAATACATTGTCGAAAAAGATATTTTTTTAGAAAATCATCGAGATTTCTTGAACCGCGAACATTTTTCCAAATTCCAAAACAAAGTTTGGAGACGCGAACATATTTTGAAACTCCTGAAGAATATTTGAAAACACAAACATTTTTGAAAACTAATTAACAATTTATGAAACTGATAAAAAATTTGAAACTCCAAAAAAAGTAAAAAAAATAAATGTTCCAAAACAAAATTTGGAGAATCCTTTCCAAATTACTGAACAATTTAAAAAAATACATTTTCGAAAAAAGAGAAAGACTAAGAAAACATGAAGATTTCATGAAAATGGAACATTTTTCCAAATTCCAAAACAAAATTTGGAGACGTCGACATAATTTGAAACTCCTGAACAAAATTTGAAAACACGAACATTTTTTAAAACTTGTGAACAATTTATGAAACTGAGACAATTGAAACTCCGGAAAAAATAAAAACAGGAAAAATTCCAAAACAAAATTTGGAGACAGAAGATTTCTCAACAGATTTAAAAAAAATAGTTTTTTTGAAACAGAAGATTTAGAAAATTTCTTGAAAACGGGAATTTTTTTCCAAATTCGAAAGCAAAATTTGGACATCCAAACATATTTTGAAACTATTGAACAAAATTTGAAAACACAAACATTTTCTAAAATTTGTGAACAATTTATAAAATTGAGACATTTTTAAAACTCCAAAAAAAAATAAAACATGAACATTTTTTGGTATTTGCGAACATATTTTGAGAATGGGAAAAACAATTAACACCCGAACAGTTTTTGTGAAGTTGTGAAATTTTTGAAGAAAAGCATTAGCAATAATTTTGGAAAACGAGAACATTTTTTGAAAATACCAAACATTTTCTGAATTTATGAATAATTTTTTAAAAGGACCATTTGCTGAAATTTTGAATGTAGTTTAAAAGCAAGAACAATTTTCGAACAAGAACTTTGTTTCAAAAGATAAAATAACCTTGAAAAAGATAAATAGAAAATAAAAAAAGAAATAGTAAACGAGAAAAAGAGAAAAAAGAAAGAAGAAAAAGAAACAGAAACAAAAAAATAAAAAAACAGAAAAACCCGTAAAAAGACAAAAAACCGGCTGGAGTAGATGCACTGTGTACGCGAAAGTGTGCCGGCCCATTGCGTCGCTGCTCGGTCGCTCGCCTGTGCGAAGCTTCGGCAGTTTGACACAGAAAGTGTCAAATAGGAAATTCCCTTTTAGCTCACATACCAGGCCAATCGGCGTTTCCTTTTTCTAAAGGTCCTACATATACATGGGTCATGTCGTGCCACGCCTTTTTATGGCTAGCCATGTCGGGCCGGGCTGGACGCCCATATGGCCGAGTATGGTGACGGGTATGACGCGGAAATGGGGAGCTCCTGTTCGGCGCCTTAAGCCCCTGGCGCCCGCCGCACCACCTTGATGGGCCGGCCCGCGATGGGAAAGGTAGCGAACAGAAATCACCACAAATATAGCAGAAACGTGGCTGGTCATGAATCAAACTCCGATCGATCGCGAACGCAAGGCTTGTTCGAGCTTAGCTTACCACCAGACCGATCGGCCACTTGTGATTTTCTTTATGCTAACTCCACATGAACTAGTATGGCCGCAATATTTATTTATAATTTATTTTACTTTACTTTTATAAAATTGCAAATTCAAAACGTACATCGATTTTGAGACAAAAGTTCACAAACTTAAAAGAAGTTCAACGATCTTGAGAAATAGTTCAATATTTTTGAAGAAAAGTTCAAAAACTTAAAAAGTTCACCAAAATTTTAAAAAAGTTTATGAAAAAGTTCAAAAAGTTCATCGTTTTCAAAAAAGAGTTCATCAAATTTGAAAAAAGATCATCAAATTTGAAAAAACATTTCATTGAATTTGAAAAGAGTTCATCATTTCTGAAAAAGAGTTCATCATTTTTGAAAAAAATTCCATCAATTAAAAAAAGTTCATCAAATTTGAAAAAACAGTTCACTGAATTTGAAAAGACCTCATAAATTTCGAAAAATAGTTCACAAAATTTAAAAAAAGTTCATCAAATTTGATAAAATAGTTCGCCGTATTTGAGAAAAAGTTCACCAATTTTGAGAAAATGTTCATTGAATTTGAAAAAAGTACAACGAATTTGAAAAATAATCCGTGCATTTAAGAAAAAGAAACGAAAAACAAAGAAAATGAACAAGAAAAAAAAGTATAAAAACGTGTGGGAACTTTGAAAAAACCCGATGAAGGTAATAATAAAAGAAAGAAAAAGGTTAACTGCGCAAGTTCGGGATGCTGGCATAGTGGTTCCAGCTATTACCTAGGAGCGCAGGGATCACGAAGTCGTTCCCTTTGCTGCGTCTTTTCTTTAGTCATTTAAGAACAGGGATAAAATGCTATATGGGCCGGCCCAGCACGGGGCGCTGCAGGCGCCCGTTAGCAAAATACACGTTAATGGGCGCCTGCAGCGCCAAATAGGATTTGCCGGGAAATGTCTATAGAGCGCAATAACAATTTTCATTTGTGCAATTTCGTTTTTGAACATAAAAACTTTAATTTTGAAGCTCATACATCGTCAAGTATGCTTGTAATTTACCTTTGGGTCGTCATCTTTGGTTGGGCATTGCCCATGATCCGAACCATGTACAGATGAACATCAGTTTGAATCAATAAAGTGGCAAGATTCCTCAAAAAAGTAAACGATCGATGACTACTCCCGCTAGCATTCTGGAGTTTTAGCAATTGTACTTCTTGATTGTTATATTTTTTTATAGAGAGAAATTTATGTCGTAGCTTAAAAAAATATAGGTATAGCAATCCTTGGGGCCAGTTTTTCCGAGTTACGACTTGTCCGGCAGAACTTCTGCTGAGTTTTCTCCCTTTAATTTTATTCAGTCTGTTCGTAAATATAAGATATTTTGGATATTTGAGTATGGACTACATATGGACTAAAATAAGTGAACAAACACACGAAAACGTGTCTATATACATCTAAATCAGAAAAAAAAGAGTTAAACATCTTATATTTGTGAACGGAGGGAGTAGAATATAGCTTTTTTTAGGGGGGAGTAAAATATAGCTGAAAAGCCATCCAGAAGCCACAGAAGAACTAGCCGGGAGCTCCTATTGGACGCTCATTGCGTCCAACAGCGCGCTGACGCACACGGGGCGCCCCGACTGGGCCGGCCCAAGTTAGCTTACAGCAGAACACCTAAAAAAACAAATGCGAGAGTTCGTGAGTATAGAACCCAGGAC